CGTGGGTGGACGATACAGATTTTCAGATCTCCAACAGTCGACTCAATTACTTTGTGAGGAAAGAGGTTGGATGATGTTGGGGAGTCCGGGCGGGAGAAGCCAGAGCGGTTGTATAGATACAGACAGAAGAACCGATGCTTTCCTGCGACAGGAAACACAGCAATTCCAAGTGCTGATAAGGTGGACATGGTCTGGAGTCTTCTGAAATACAACTAGCAGAAGATATTTTGAGTCCCTATAGCGAATCACATTCTATGCAGTTCGGTACATGGTTTTCTGAAATACAACTCGCAGAAGATGTTTCGAGTCCCGATAGCGAATCATTTTCATTGTATTTGGTTTGTTCTGAACACTCAAGAATTCATCGGCGAGGACAGAAATTGTGTGAATTAAGCCAAAGCTGGACCGCCGCAAATAACACAGATCTGAACCAGAATAGGATATGTCGCATCTGCCGCACCTTCAACTCAGCGTCTGCGGCTCGATTGCGAAGGAATCATGTCTCAAGTTCAGTTAACGGGGATCAACCCCTGGATGAATAACCGCGATCGCGTTGGGCGAACAAGGACAACGGTGCTTAGTGGTCTCCGGTTTTGATGGGTGAACCGCGATGGTGTGAACGGATCTCAATTTTAAATTAGTGGCTAGCAACGAACGACACGCAGATGAGTTTCTATGCCCTCGTGAGGCACGATCGTTGGGCCTAGAATGATGTTTATGATCGACGGCTTGCTGACGTGAGCAGATCTTTCTGCTCTCCTCCATCATCAGCGCCGTCCGGAGTCCCTCCTTCGATTTGGATTTGTTTTCCCCACCCACCCTGGCCCTCGTGAAGCTAAGTGATTTCATTTGGATACGTCACCCTCTGGCTTACATTCACAGGGACGTCGAAACGCGCTTGGGTATCAGCGCTACCGCCAATCCCTCAGCCTTAGCCATCCACCGCTCAACCCTGTCGTCCCATTGGTGGCAGGGATTTCTCCCGTTCCTAGCAGCCATTCTTCATACATTATCATGGTCACGTCAGCTTAAGGAGTTCATAAATGGATAATTCTAATCAGCAACCCCCCTTTCCGATGTACGGGGGGGGGGGTTGCTGGATAGGAAATTTCTATTCAGCAAGCCCCACGTGATCCATATCTCGGCGTACCCGGAAGGTGGCTGAGCCGAATCATTAATCGTCCTGCTGTACGTCGAGGCGCTTAAGTGTCTCCTCTCTTGCGTCCTACCACCACCATCCTCACAATGTTCTTCTCCCCCATTCTCAATAACTTTACTGTCTACTGCCTGCCTCCGAAGTATGCCTGCACTGAAATTCATGGTAAGTCTTGCAAATAAGAGTCCGGGTTATTGGTCAAGTACTCGACGAGGAGGTCGGTCCATTGAGGATTTTTAACCCAATTGATTTGTGAACGTTGGGATTTTCCCAGTACTTCGACGTCGGAAGACGGAGCATCCTGGACGGGCTCCTTTTTCTTGGCTCGACTTTTTCGATGTTTAGGGGCTGTAGCGGCCTTGGGAGCCACGGTCTTTGGCGCCATGGTACTGAATAAAGAGTGGAAGGGTACTTTTGTGCGACACTGAGATACCGGAAGACAGACAGGAAAATAATAATAATGATTACATAAGAAAAGGCGGGATACGGGTCCGGAATGCCGAAGTCGGGGCACCGAGTTGGGGCATCAAGTTGGGGCACAAGTTGGATGTCAAATCGAGGTCATACGCGCGATTTGACGTCCAACTCCGATTTCATGCCCCAACTTGGTGCCCCAACTTGATGAAGTTGGGGCACCGAGTTGGGGCAGAAGTTGGGCCGAAAAACCTAACTGTGAAACACCCTAATGTGTCAGGTAATCGGGGTTCAAAAAATGTGAGGCCGCTGACACAATCCTTCCTCGAAACGAATTATGCCGGCCCGACCGGATATCGGATCTTATCTCATTACATAAGTATATGATCTGGAGGGTTGCTGAATAGCGGCAAGCCAGGGCAACCCCCGTACATTCGCAAGGGGGGTTGCTGATTAGAATTATCCTTCATAAATGGCCTGCATCATCGGGTTTTATACAACTTTCTCGCACGCGCTCGTACACGCGCGCGCGCGCGTACGAGACATCAAAGATCGCGCGTGTGCGCGAGCACGAGCTATGTCTGAAAATCTCACGCAAGCTGTCAAAATTGCCTTTTTGGGATATATAAATTTCCCGCCAGGTGTTGATTGAGCAGGGCAAACAGTGCAGGACTCAATCTGAGGTACTTTAGTGTCCTCCTGGGTACCACTGGGCACATAAATTACCGCCAGAAATACGCAGGAAGGGGTAAAAAGGACGCATCGCGCGCGTTGCGAGCTCCACGCGAGCGCGCGAGCGCGCGATCGCCCGTGATTTACGATTTTGCTGATGATCCACATTACTACATGCGCTTTGCATCCGCTGCTCCATCGTCAATGTGGCATTGCGGGGATCTGTTAGGCTTGAGTTTACGAGTACACGCGAGTATGAATCGTCTCGGAGTTTGAAAGATTTGATGCCATGTCCCTTCCATCTCTCAACACGCCGTTCTTTTTGTAAGCATGTATTTGGGTCAATATGAGACTCTCTGATTTTTTCTGTGGATTTTTCCCCAAGAAATGAAGGACCTTAGGGCATTTCTTTTCCGCGACTTTCAGGCAATAATTGATGGAGCTGATGGCTTGGCGTTTCCAAGGTGTTTCAATTTCAAACTCCGAGGCTGTTCGTATTCGCTTGTACTCGTTAACTCCAGCCTCTATAGTATACGTGATTCTGAACGACTATCTTCAGAAAATCACGAAGGTTAGATTATAGAGGCTGAAACGAGCCTATGGATCTGTATAGGGAGGTGGGTTGTCACTCGGGAGAAAGAAAGAAATACAAGAGGGGCACATTGCATGATGCGTGAGGAATGGATATACTTCATTTTATTTTTGCCATGCGCCCACAATCTGGTAACCTGGTTGGAGTACATTTTCCCTGCCGCTGTCACCCAGGAATAAACATAAACGAGGCCGGTAATCGTGCTGTGGCATGGAACACCGCTTTGGTAGCTGTATTTCACACAACCTACCAGGGGGATAAGACTCAGGATAAATATTATGCTCAGCTAGGTCCCCGAACGTGCTGAGTTGTACTAGTAGTGTAAAGTACGTGCGCTTGTGAGCCACTGCTTCGCATGGCAGTACGAGTCCGGCCCGGGGTCCGTGTTCCGCACGGCTTTATGTCGTGCTGTTTGGCCTGTGTTTGGCACAGGCCTTCTGCAGACGCCAATAACAGCCCGAGTGACAGCCGCTTTCAACTTCAAGCTTCAAGTATCAAGTCTCGGTCACCGATGACTTGCTCGATTATTCTAAATGGCTAGTTTTAACCCCACGGTAAAACTTGAAGCCACCCCCTGCCCTGCCCAAACTGCGCCGCAGTACAACTTCGGAAATTGGCACAATTCGAGCGGGTGATTCTGTCACTCGGCGTTCAGGTAGAGATAGATTACCAGCGAGAGGTTGTATTCATCGCTATTTACTCACTACCCAGATTCCCTGACGGCGCATATCGCAGCACACTGCCGCTGATCGCCCCTTCGATGCAAGGTCAACGGATCTTGCAAGTCGACAAACCTGCCGTTACTGGTACACGCCCTCCTTGTGGTCATGCCGTCATGGTACCATATTATGCCTTGTGCATCCACGACGACACTCGTAAAATGTCTCAAATCGGCTATAATTTGTGAGTGATATATCAGTCCTCGCAGTTTCAACATCTTTTGACCAAGGGTCACATCTTCCTCAAGTCGAAGTGTGTCTAGGTTCAAGGACAAAATTATTAAGGACGGGACTTGGTGAACTGTGGTGAGCATTCTCATCTTAGTGTGAATTCCATTTACACGGCATTGCGGCATTGGCCCACTTGATGGTCAAATAAGTACTGAAACCACTGTGACAGTGTCGGACCTTGGGGATATCTTTGGCGTAGCTCGTTTGTGTTTCAAACGTTGATGTATTGGCTGAATGTATCGGTCACACCCCGGACCCTATACCCGCATGTTTCGCAACCTGTCACGGCATCCCCGTAACTGCGTCTGACTGTAACTCCCATGAATAAATCGTCTAATTTTATGCCCCGTGGTCCGATCGAGAAGTTGACAGGATTCTGGAAGTGCAACAAGTGCCGCACTGTGTTTCTGGCCTCTTCTGGTCTATGGCTCTTTCCTCTCATAATGTTTGCCCATATACCCAACAGCGGGCTGAAATCAGTAAGTCTTTGTGCCCACAACTCGGGGTTGTCCCTCCAGGCGCCGGCTAAGGGGTGAGCAAGCCATCGTATCCACAACTATAATTGGTGTTATCCCAAATAAGCCCTACTGGACACACGGATTGTATGGTCCTTCCTATCGTCGATACTGCTGAGACTGAGGAGCCCGAAGCTGTTGCATTAATAACGAATTTTTTCGGTGCAGGCACGTCTTCGTGTTCACTGGCTTTTCTTTTGTGCTGAGTCGACATTTTTCCAGTAGATTTATCGATGGTCGGCTTCCAAATTCCGTAGTCATTAATAGACCCCCATTGAACCTTTTTCCGCGTTAACAAGTGGGATATTTCTGCGAGCCGGCCTTTCCAAGTAAAAGGAAAAAAAAAGATCAGATAAGGCGACCATTCGGACACGGGGAGTCGAACCCTATTCTGCTTCCAACAATCTTGTTCTACCACCTCATGTTAGGAGGCCGTGTACCATACACCATGTGCGACCGCTCTCACCCCTACGAAGTTCACTAGGATCCCATGATCAATTTCTTGCAAAGCCGATGCGGCTCAGACACTGGCAAATATTGAGAGTGCGCAACATCCCAGGGCATGATGCCCGTGAATATTCAACCTCACTAGTACGCCATTGGTATTATGAGACTCGCCATTGAGCCTATTTCCGCGTTCACCCGAGGGATATTTCTGCGAACTAGGCATGACATGTAAAAAGAAATTGCAGATAGCTGAATTCGGACACGGGGAGTCGAACCCCAGTCTGCAGCTTCCAACAATGTCGCCTATCACCACATGTCGGGAGGCCGTGAACCATACACCATGCCCGATTCCATTAACTCATCTGAAGCTCGCTAGGTTAGCATTTTTTGTTTCGATCAGCCCACTCCGATCGATGCCTCCGAGTCCTATCGATATCGAACCTTTTGCCACCCCTGTGTCGTTCACAGCCATATATATCATACTAATACACCAAATCCGATTTCTCTACCCCTTGACTCTGAGAAATTCGCTATGCTATCAATATTCTGGGGATCAAGCGAAATCATTAGAACAAACCCACAAAAAAATCCAACACCAGCACATCCTTTTTTCTCGAGATCGCACCCTGCCGTCGAAAAAATTAAAGTTGAACAAGGCCTCAAAAAGATGGCTCATCCATTCGGACACGGGAGTCGAACCCCGCTCTATCTCCATTTCGGCAATTTCCCTTAAGACGAGAGGCGGTGTACCATACACCATGTCCGATTCCTCATACTGTTACAAATCTCACTAAGCTGTACTGTAGTAGTGCAACATTCCAGTTGGATTATTCACCAATGAACGCAATTGCAAGACGCCCGATGCACTCCAAATAATAAATATTCAACTTGCTCTCTAGTACGCCATTGATATTATGAGACTCCCCATTGAACCTTTTTCCGCGTTCGAAAGGGGGGAGGTTTCTGCGAACCGGGCATGACAAGAAGAAAAAAAGGATTCGAAATATGGTGCATTCGGACACAGGGAGTCGAACCCCGCTCTGCCTCCAACAAACTTCTTCTTAATATCGCCTGTGAGGGGAAGCCGTGTACCATACACCATGTCACTAGGCTGTAGCACTTTGCATTATTCCGACTAGATTATTCACCTGTGAACGCGACACCCGATGCCCCAAAAATATTCAGCCTCACTAGTGAGACCCCATTGAACCTTTTCCCGCGCTCACAAGTCGGATCTTTCTGCGAGCCGGGCATTGCAGAAAAAAGGTAGAACATCCGACCATTCATTCGGACACGGGGAGTCGAACCCCGGTCCGCCTCCAACAAGTGGCAGTTCTTCTATAAGGCGAGAGGCGGTGTACCACACACCATGTCCGATCCATTTCACTCATTTGAAGCTCGCTAGGTAGCATTTTCTTTTTTTGATCAGCCGACTTAGATCGAATAAAACACGAACAGCCAACTTCCGAGACACCCGGAAAGATTCAGCCTCTGAATCGTTTATGCCTCCGGGTCCTATCGATATCGAACCTTTTGTCACCTCTGTTTCGTCCACGCCGTGTACACCACACTGATACACCAAATCTGATTTCTCTGCTCCTTGACTCCGAGAAGTTCGCTATGCTATCAATATTCTGGGGATCAAGCGAAATCATTATATACGCTTTCAGACAGACGCCCGAGACTCACAAAATAATCCAACATTCAACATCAGCACTTTCTTACTATGCACATCATTTTTTTCTCTAGATCGCCCCTACCGTCGAAAAATTGAAGTTGAACAAGGCCTCAAAAATAATGCCTCAACCTTCCATTCGGACACGGGGAGTCGAACCCCAGTCTCCCTGCAACAAACAGTTTTCCGAACCACATGGAAAGGTCGTGTACCATACACTATGTCCGGCCCACGATCCTTGAGCCTGAACCCAGGGTCGTCGAACCTGCGGCCGAACCCAGACTCGTCGAACAAGGACCCGCTACCGAACCCGGGATGGCGCCTCACGCCCTGGGGGAAGTTGTCAGTCACTGGTTCAGATCAGAGTGCCGCGCGGGTTTGGGTAAGTCAAGCTATCATCGAGAGAAGGGGGACGGCCAAAAAAAAACAGGGTTGAGGAGGCGAGGCCCGACCCGACGACTGTACCCCAATTTGGCGACACCGTGGCGAAATGTAGCATGGACCTTTGAGTCCATATGGGAATTGGAAAGTCCGGCATCAGGTCTGGCAGAAGTGATCGGCGGACTGATGGGAATGCAGAGCGGCGAAACGGCGGAGGCAGATCAGATCGGTCATTGATCCAAACACAGTGCAACAAATGGGTATTTTGTTCACTACACGTTTCAGAGGCTGATTTCAGAGGCAAGGACAGCTATAAGTCCATAAATCAAGGATAAGAGACTATTTTAACTTGCGTAAAACAATTAGATGAATTATTGACCCATAAGAATGCCCGCTATGTATATAGTGGGTTTTTGTACCCATCTCAAAAACAAAATTGGAGCCGGTTTGGTTCCCCATTTAGTAATTGTTGGCCACCTATAAAAGGTTAAATTGTGATGCAAATATCTATACAAGGTTACATTCATCAACCATCATTTGATCGTAACTTAGATCACTCCCTATCTGTTTCTACTCACTCCTTTAAACCTCTTCGCATTTTCACCCCTCCCCTGCTCCTCTCTCCACCTCCGTCCAAGTGGTGGAAGTGCCACGTAGGTTTCTCCAACTTGAAACAGCTGGTGGAAGCCATGGAAGTCAGAAGGGGGCCACAAACTGTACTGACCCAGTTGGTGGAAGCAATGGAATTTAGCAGGTCACAAATTTTACTGATACCTATTACCAGTTGGTGGAAACAATGGAATTTTAGCGGGTCACAAATTTTACTGATACCAGTTGGTGGAAGCAATGGAATTTTAGCGGGTCACAAATTTTACTGATACTAGTTGGTGGAAGCAATGGAATTTTATCAGGTCACAAATTTTACTGATACCAGTTGGTGGAAGCAATAGAGTTTTATCGGGCCACAAATTTTACTGATACCAGCTGGTGGAAGCAATGGAATTTTAGCGGGTCACAAAATTTACTGACAATTTTACAGGGCCACCAAAACCAATGGAAAAGGTGGAAAAATTCGGTTTTGGCTCCAGGACTGGTGCTTGGTGGAGAGGGTGGAACAGCCCAAAAGGAGCCTGCCATGGAAGATGTTTTCGCCTCATTTTAGAGGGTATGTATGATACAAAGGTACCCTCTAATATGAGGTGATTTGTGGTATTTCCAGGTGTAAAAGCACCAGTGGAACAAAAGTCCAATAATACTCAGCGACATAAGTGTTGGTAAAGGTGACATTGGCATTCTTCATGTGATTCTTCACGCGAAACACTACTCCGCCAACTCGAGACCGCACTCTATTCATATCTTTTCCTACACTCGCGCTTCCTTTCCCACAAGTACTCCTTTGTCTGCCGCACCTACTTCTATGCCGACTTTGCCCCTCACATTGTATTCCACTTCAGATTCCTCGCCCTGTGCCTCTACTCTGCCCTGCCCTTCCTCATCGCGCACTGACTCTAACTTTGTTTACCCGACTTGCGCTCCACCTCGTACTTTGCCCCGCCCTTTTTATGTGGCACCCATCGCACGCCGACTATGCCACCCGACTTCACTCGCGCCTCGCCCGCGCTTCCCCTCCGCCTTGCGCTCCCCTCTGCCTCGCTTCACCGGCAAAGCCAAGCCAGGCGCCGAACGTAGCAAGAACAGGTTATAGGGACAAGTAGGGTATGGATATGGAGCTTGGAGAACAGCCGTCAAGGAGGAGTAGGCCAACCAAGTCGAGAAGGGTATTGATATGATGAGGAGATGAATTCCGTCAAGGAAGGATAGGCAAACCAAGTCAAGAATGGTATCGACATGACGAGGAGATGAATTCTGTCAAGGAGGAATAGGCCAACCAAGTCAAGAATGGTATTGATATGATGAGGAGATGAATTCCGTCAAGGAGGATAGGCAAACCAAGTCAAGAATGGTATTGACATGATGAGGAGATGAATTCCCTCAAGGAGGAATAGGCCAACCAAGTCAAGAATGGTATCGACATGACGAGGAGATGAATTCCATCAAGGAAAAATAGGCCAACCAAGTCAAGAATGGTACCGATATGATGAGGAGATGAATTCTACCAAGGAGGAGTAGGCAAACCAAGTCAAGAATGGCATCGATATGACGAGGAAATGAATTCCATCATGGAGGAATGGGCTAAACAAATCAAGAACGGCACCAACGTAACAAGGGAACAAATTCTGCAGTGAAAGAATTCAACCAACTCGAGAACTGTGCTTTACAACGGTCTCTGCGCTGGAAAGGAGATAACCAATTCGAGGAACAGTATCAGGACCAAGTTCTATGGTGCAAGAGGAGCTCGACCAGGCTGATTATGGTGCTATAGGAGTACCTCTGTCAACAGGCGCTTCACCAACAAGGGTGAGGAGGAAAGCGGACTCCTTCAGGCTAAAAGGGGGTAGGAGCTACCTTGTGGGCTGAAGGCTGTGTCCAGAATGAAGAACGCATGTCAGGACAATATGCCGGTGGCTGAGCAAAGAGTATAAAAACCTTATGTATTATTCAAGAATGGTATCTTGTATTTCCCCACCTAAATTCCTAAGGCTTTCGCAAGCCAAGAAAGAAACTCTTCCTCTGTCTTCGGACACGAGACGGACACAAACCGAAGTACTACAAAATACAGGTTAACACAAGACCCAGAGCGCAAGGAGTGGCCAATTAGTTGCTTCCGGTAGGGAACTCCGACCAGAACAAGGACCAGGTCATATAGGAGATCCTGAAAACGATAAAACACCACGTACCAAAGGTGGAGTGGTATCTAAACAGCCAGCAACAGAATTCCTGTTAGCGTGTAACTGTTCTGACCAAGTAGTATCGGAAGGCAAATCAGTCTTTGACTTGGGACAACTCGGAGAAATCCAGTCCTCATAGCCATCTACCAACCGGCATGGTCACCTCGTTACTGAATAACTTGCATCGAGGTTCAAGGAGAGACATAATAAAGGGGTCCCAAAGGAAGGGAATTGCGGAGTTTAGGCTACAAGATTCGAAACAGGCCCTGAGGTCCCGCACATTTAATGGAGAAATAAAACTGAGGAATAGAAAAATCCACCCACTGCACAGAGCAATGCCCAGAGAAGGAAACACGGCTCTATCCACGACTCCTCCTGTCCTCCCTCGAAAGGAGCCTGTACAGTTCCCGTCATCACTTCCGACTACCCGATTAGGCCTAAACAACCGCAAACTTTGAAAACGATTCAGCACTTCCACTCAACATTCCTTTGGCTTGGAAATA